TGTTCTGTTTACCATCTTATCCCCAAGGCTTAGCAGTGTCTGGAACACAAGTTATACTGGTCAACAAATAACTGCTGAAATCTTCTGGACAAATAAATGATAGAATATCCTTTGATGGGAGTAGACTGAAACTCTTTCATTGAAGGATTCTGTGGAGAATTTGGAGACCAGAATACTTCTGCCTAAATAGAATATGGCCCATTCTTTTCTAGACCCTTTCTGTTTGCAGGGTTTTTACCTACATAGCATTGTTGTGATGCAAGAAATTCATGGATCCTTCTACCCTTTTCTAATTGGTAAGATGGGACATCCTTTCCTTTTCCAAAATAGGGTTAGGCAAGACTTATTTTTGACATTTACCTTCTTTTGAATGCATGTGGCAAATGATCCCTTGAGTAATAAAGGGGACTCTTACAAGTCTGTGCTTTTTCATTCTGTTTTTATCATTGATTTATTGAATTTAAAGTGAAGGAAGGCCTTGACAGATGGCATGGATAACCTCTTCTACAGATAAGGCAACTATGAAAGGACAGCTATACTAACTCCAGAAGATCTGAAAACCACCTTATTAGTAAGGTTTTATCATTTTGTCTACTCTTAAGATGAAAGAACCAGGCCACTAAGAATTTGTGTCATGTTGAAACCAAACAACTAATAAAATAGCATAATGAGAATCCAATCCAGGTCTTTTGTTCAAAAAGAGAGGATCCACAGCTGCAGGTTTCACATCCATAACCATTTGTGTAGTACCTAAAGCTAGGAGCATACAGGTCCTCAGGAAATTTTCACAGCATGAGAAGAGAGAAGAGCCTGGAAAAGAATTCTAGTAAAAATTAGTGCAATATTTAAGATCCAGAATGAGAAAGATATACCTGAAAAGGGTCACTGAGAAGAATGCAGTACAGGAGGAGAGTGGGTGGGTGTAGAACATGGAATACAGAACCAGGGAGACCTTTCAAAGGGACGGGAATGATATAAAAGGTCTGATGCTGCAAGAAATAGGATCAAAGGTAGCCCAGTGGGAAATACCCTAAGAATTTGGCAACATGGAGGTGGGAAGGCATCTGATGAGCTTGGAGGAATTAATTTTAGCCAGATCACAGTGAGTTTAGAAGTCAATGAGAGGCGAGCAATGATGCACTGAACAGTTTGATGCTTGCTTGAGGAGAAAGAAGAGGTGATAACACCAACATGTGTTGAGTTTGTGTATTTTTTATTTGAGAGGATTATGTATGTTTACATGCTGGCAGGAAGCCCTAGAAGACAAGAGAGGTTGAAGGTGCAAGAAACAGACCATCCAGTGCAGGCCTCTGAGTTCAGGAGGGGATAGAGTTTCCTCCCCAGAATAAATGGGAATGAAAAATGTGATTTAGGGAAAGCTTGAATATCAGCTGTTCATTTATTATAAAGTTAAAATAATCCACAGTGAGGTAAATCTCACTCTGTCATATTTTTTCTTTCGTAACATTCATAACTTTCATTTAACATTGTTTCCTTCTTTTTGCCTCTGTTCTTCAGTAGAACCTAAGATCTAGGAAGCAGTAAATGAAGATAAAATCCATATCATGGTTTAAATATGGAGTGTTCCTCAAAGATTCATGTATTGAGGAGTTGGTCTCTACATGCAGAAATGTTCAGAGGTCTGAGTTTTGAAGATGACCAGATGTTAGGGTTGCTAACCTCCTTAATCCATTTATAAATTTATAGGTCAATGTGCTGTTAGGAGGTGAGATAATTTAGGGTCCCAACCTGAAAGGGTACTTCCTTGTGCCTGGACCTTTCATCTCTCTTTGGTTCTTTCTGCTGTCTTTGCTTCCTGGCTGCTGTGGATTGAGCAGCTTCCCTCTCAGCCATGATTTTTCTGCCTTGGAGCAGTCAACAATGGACTGAACTTCTGAAACCCTGAGCTAACAGAAACCTTTTCTTCTTTCAGTTGTGTATGTCAGGTATTTGGTGACAGTGATGAAAAGGTGACCAATACAAATGACCTGTATGTTTTAGACATTTTTCCCTTGAAACCATTCTATTTGGAAATGGGTGATACAAAGATGTATCTGATGTAAGAAAGTTGTCTTAGTTACTTTCTCATCACTGGGACACCTGCAAATTAGAGGAAGAGAAGTTTATTTGGGCTCACACCAGAGGTTTCAGTCCATGGTCTGGTGGTTCCAAGGCAGGATGGCATGGCAGTGGTGCCTGGCAGAGGAATGAGCTGCTCACGTGGAGGTGTCCAGGATCAGAGCCAGTCAAAGAAGGAGCCACGAAGGAAGGGTCCTCAGAAACCCACCTCTTCCTGCCAGTCTCTTCGCTCTACCAGCAAATCAGCTACACCTCTCTCATAATCCAGTCACATTTCAAAAGCCTCATCTATGAATATACAGTTTGAGGGGACATTTTAGATCTAAATTGTAACAAAGGTTTTAAATTCATTTTGAAATGTGAGAAAAACAGGAAAGTCATTAAAAAGTATGAGAATGTGGACTTGAATCACATTGAATAAGTAATAAGCCTCAAGGCACAGAAACAACACAATATTCTCTCTTGAGCATGCAAGGACTCTTGAAGTAAGCATACAATATAGCTTTGCTCTTGACCTTTGCCTCTCAGCTTGATAATTTCCAAATTAGAAACCATTAATACTAATTTAAAAAGTAGAAGGTCCTGCATGATGGGATTCTTAAAATGGAAATGCATCTTCTCTTCCCCCTCTCTCACTTCTCTCAAGAGTGTGGAGCCTTATGTCTGTCTTGCTCTTTCACTCATTTACCCCAGAGTGACTTTTTAGATCCCGGAAAAAACCCAAGCACACAACAAGCACTAGCCCTATTTGCTGGTGTGACTCAGAGGCCTGCAATCTTCCCTTTGGCTACCTGCATAGACCAGCAAGCCTTCCAGTCTTTACCTTTTCAGAGGAGCCTTCTATTGTACAGATCACATGCTGAATCTCTTCCAAACTCACAAACAGCTGAGCACCTTGGGACCACAGAAGCACAGTGAAGGAGAGGACAGCAGGCATCCTGTAGAAAATGCACTTGGGGTTTTTATTTCTAATGAAGTGTCAGTAGTATAGAGTGGGATGCTCAAGGGTGTTTGAGGTTGTGACATCTAGCCCAGGCATGGTAGCACATTTCTGTAATCCCAGCACTTGGGAGGCTTAAGTGGGAGGATCGTTGTGAATATGAGGCCAGCCTCAGCTATATGGTGAGTTCTAGGCCAACCTGAATTATACAGTGAGACCCTGACTCAAAAAAAAAAGTGTGAGGGCTAGATTTGTATTCTTCTCTGCTACTTACTGTCTGGGTGATCTTGGCCTGTCTCTTAACTTCTCTCTGAGCATTGGCTTCTTCATGTATAGAATGAAAGAGATTATGTCTTCTTTGAGCTGTGAAGGTTAATGAGGTCATTCCCTAATAGTACCAGAGCATACCTACTCTTAACACTCAACAGACACAGATGCAACTCAACTTACAATGGGGCTAGATCTTAATAAACCCATCATAAATGGAAAATGTTGTAAATTGAAAATGCATTTAATACATCTAACCTAGCAAACATAGTACACTGTAGAGTATTGGTTGTTTCTCTCATGATTGTGGGGTGGGCTGGCGGCCTCATGTAGCTGGTACTATGCAGCATCAAGAGAGAGGATTATAACTTTTAACACTCATGGTGAGAAAAGTGAAAGGGGCACGAGGAGGTGGAAACTGGTGGTGAGTTCAGTTTGGAATATGTCAACTTTAAAATGCCTCTGAGATTTTGAAGAAGAAATGGTTTTCTTCTATGAGAAACTCACAGTATAAATAAAGAGCAAAATCAAAGATAGTGGGAAGTAGGGAGATAGCTCCTTCGCTAAGGAGAAGAGAACGAGATGAATGGAGAGGGAGGGAAAGGAATTGGGATGTGCTATGTACTTGTACCAACTACACACAAGGAATGTAAATGTGTACTGCAAACACATATAAAAAGATGGAAAGGGATCGAGAAATGGGTGGAGTGGCGAGGGACAGAGGGAAAGAAAATGATGAAAAAGGGAATTAAAATATATTATGTACATGTACCAAGGAATGCAAATATTATCTACTACAAACATGAATTAATAAAGAAAATGATCTAAAAAAAAAGTACAGTCAAAACTTCTGGGGAGATATCAATTTGGAGATTATTAACATACAAGTGGTAGATATTGGACCAGAAGTAGTACCATTTTTTAATAGGGCCTGTATGAAAACAAGGTGTTTTCTTAGCTCTAGGCCTCTTATCCATACTGCATTTGTGTACAAGAGGCCTCCATGATAGCTAAGTCCTGGCTATCCTACAGTTTAGACTTCTCAGCTATGGTTTCTGCATTCTTTGCCTAGTGTAAATGTGCATGTCTGTGTATGTCCAACCTTTTCATTAAGAATGTAACTCTTGATTTTTCAAAAACAGCATTCCTTCAACAGCAACTTTGTAAGCCCCATTTATGGGCAAAGTTTGTGATTTAAAAATCACATAGTCTCAATCCTCGTGGAGCTTTCAGGCTGGTGAGAGTACTAACAAATCTAATGTAAAAGACAAATGGGAGTAAGACCTGTGAAATTAAAGCATGGTGTATGACAGGGGCCCTTCTACAAAGTCAGAGAAGGTTTCCTTGAGGAAGAAACATTTAACCAGAGGGTTAGAATATAAGCTGTCAGAGGGAGGGTGGTAGGCTGCAGGATGGAGCGGGGAGGAGCCCTCCCAGACAGAGGGACAAGTTCAATAATTGTCTAAAGGTAATATAGAGTATGATGCTTTGTTCAAACAAAGCCAATCATCTGAGCAAAAAGATGGAGAGAGAAAAGAGCTGAAAGTTAATTGAGAGCGGGAGACATAATCTAGCTCATGCCGAGCTTTGTCATCCATGCTAACGCTGTGGATTTCATAATGAGTACAAGGGGACGCCATCAAAGAGTTTTCAGCTGTTTGTAGAGAGGGGTAATGTGGCCAGATTTACTTTTTAAAACGATTTTTTCCTGTAGCTTTGTGGAGAACCACTGAAGGAACCAAGGGCAGAAGGAAAGACAGAGAGACCTGCTAGAGGCCCCACAGTCGCCCCAGCAAGAGGATGGAGGACAGATGAGCATGGGAGCAGGAACTGTGGAGACAGGAGGACTTCCTTCAGATCAGCTCTCCGAGCATAATCAGGCTTGGGCATGGGGATAAGAGAGCCCACTGTGCTGGATGACTCTCAGGGTCCTGGGTCTTCTGAGTTCAACTCACTTGGTAGAATCTTTAACATGCCACCAGCTGATCAGAGTGTAGCATCCTTATGAAGCTACTGTTTTTGAATCTACTTCTTGATTTGATTGCATTTTCCATCTGAATCATTATATAAAATATAAAAATATATGATATAAAAACATAATATATAAAATATAAAAATATATACTATTAAAATATAATATATAAAATATATAATATAAAAATATTAATATCTGTATTTTCCAGTATGTTTTCTGTCTAGTTTCAGGAATGTACCCATTTCAATTGTGTAAAGCTGGTTATAAAACAAGACTTGAGCCATGCTTTGCTGATTCTTCATGACCTTAAACTGTCTCACTGTGTGAGCTTAAGCAAGTCTCCCCCTAGCCTGAGTACCCTTACCTGTAGAGTTGAAAATTCCTAGATAGATGTATCAGGGCTCTTTTGAGGATGAATTAAGATAATGTGGTAAAAGGGCATCTGGTAAAGGCATTAGATTCCAAAATCAGTACTTAAATGGACACGTGAGGTGCTCTTACATCTTAGTAGGCACGGCATGTAGCTGGAATCACCTGATATGACAGGGACAGGGACAACAGAATGAATTTATTAGCATTAAAAAACAATCCAATATTGTAACTTTTTTTAACATTTTGTTTAACATTTTGTTTAAGTACTTTTCAGTTTTGCTTTGGCTGAGTTCTATTATATTTGAATATTATTATAGTTTTTTCCCTTACCTTGCTTTTCTTTGAATAATTTTAATTTTTGTATAGATGTGTGTTTAGTGAATGATAATAAAGTTATACATTTAAAAAATCTAATAAATTCAGGATGTGGAAAACGGAGTACTACTCAGCCACAAAGAATGAGAAATTAGAGACATTTATAGCTAAATGGATGCACATTGAGGCGAAGCTCTTAAGTGAAATAAATAGGACACACATGTGTAAATACCAAATAGTTTGTCTAGTGTGAGAAACTGAAAGTGTAAATAAGGGTCAAAAGGTATAATAGGAAACGTGAAATAGGAAGAAAAGGGGCAAAGGGGAAGGGGAAGCGGGAAGGGTGAGGGAAAGGAAAGAAGGGAATGGAATTAATATGAGAAAATGAAAAAATGGACAAAAAGTCTTTGTAAATAGGGAGGGATGGAGGGGTTGAAGGGAGGGCAGGGGAAGAGGGAAAAATAAGAACCAAGATATATTATATAAAGGTATAAATTTCCAATGATGAATGCCATTATATTGTATACCTAAAATGTACCAATAAAATTAATTTTTAAAAAATCCAGGATGTGGAACATTCTATAGGACAGAATTTGGTCTCTTAAATAGTTAATATCATAGGGTTAAAAAAAGTAAAGATACATCAGCTAAATGCAGGGCAAAAGATTTGATTAGATCTTGGTTTGGTGGAAACTAATTCTAAAAGTTATGCTGAGGACCAGTGGAGAATTTGAATGTGGCTCATATGAGTCATATTAGAGAGTTCCTGTTAATTTGTCTAAGGCGTAACGATGGTGTCATAGTTATATAAGAGACTATCTTTCGTTTAGGAGCTTCATTCTGAAGTTTTGGGGGTGAAGTGATATGGTGCCTCTAATTTTGTAACATTTTATTAGAAATGTGCATATAGAGATAGAAAGACAAAGTAAATAAGGCAATATGTGAACACTTGTATCCATACTTGGTAAATGGGTTTTCACTGTCCTATTCTTTCAACTTTTTTACATACGTGAAAATCTCAGGTTGAAAAGTGACACGAAAGACAAAAATTTGACCATAGACAAAGTTACCTCCATTTTGTCAGATGAGACAGTTGCTTTTTATTTTGGACTTTGTGCTCTATGAAAAAGCATGTAAGTTGAAACATTAGACTCATACAAGTATGGAAGATGCTGACACTATAGGAAGAGGTTCTCACTTCCAACCGATCTGCCTGACCAACATTACACTTTCATAAGAATTGATGCTCATGGACTGAAATGAAGTCCAGTAGCACTTACATTATACCAATTGCTAATTTCCCTTTTGATAATTTGTTTTGCCTGAGTAGCATGATTGACTCTGGAGGGGACTCAATACATTTGTGATGCAACTACAATATGATTTTTTAATGGAAACTTCACTGCAGGCATGTGATAACATTATGTTAATAGTGTAGAGCTCATCATTTCAGACCGATGGGTCCCTGTGTTTGTATTCTGTTCCTGCTGCCCTGTCTATCTGCTGTCAGTATCTACGCCCATTCTTTGTCTTTCTTCTCTTGGAAGCCAGATGCTTTAATTTTGGAGAAAAATAGAATCTGAAACTTATGACCAGTTTCTGGGTCAAGTCATTGTAGGCCAATATTTGTGAATTTCTTGAGGCAGGAGTAGATGCAGAAGGGGGCTTAAGCTTTGTGGCTCTCTATGAAAAAGAATATAAATCTATCTATCTATCTATATCTATATCTATATAGATATAGATATAGGTATAGATATAGATACAGGCCTGGGGATTTAGTTCAATTCCCAGTACCAAAAAAACACCCCAAAAAACAAACAAACAATAAAAATAGATACAGATGTGAAAGTTCATTTAGAATAAGAAAAGAAATCACAACAAGTGAAAAGGTTTTTTTTTTTTTTAGTCTGCCAAGGTCTGCAAACATCATATGAAAAAGAAAATAGAAAAAGAAACAGTTCATCCAGCAAAAGAAATAGTTTAAATTTTAAAAATAATTAACTTCCTGACATATGCTCATAATACTTTCCCCTACACTTGTTTTGGCTGCATTCCCTAACTCTTTCTCTGACAAAAGCTTTGGAAAGTTACTGTCTATGGAGACAATAATAAGATAATCCCATCTTCCCTTCATCATGGCTAATCGTATCCTTTATTGAAAGGCTTGAAGTTTCTCTCATTATAAATTTGTTATTGGTAATATTAAATATTTTTCATATGCGAGCTATAAGAATTCAGGTTGTTTTGGGCTTACATGTGCAGTGACTAATCACAAATTCTCTTTGAATTGACCACATTCATTAACTAGTTTTTCATCATTATCATTATGAGTTTTTCATTGGCCCTGAGCTTCCAGATCACTAGCCCAGGTGTAATGGACAGCAGAGGTGCTTTTGTAAGCTTTTCCTGCATCAGGACAGCCTAAGGATGATACGAGTGACAGCAAACCACATAAACGTATTCTGTGAATCCAGAACTAAATGTTCCCTCAACTCAGCTTCTAGTTTGCTGGAGCCCAGAAGTATTCCTGACTACTCAAGATACCACCAGGCACAAAGAAAACTATGGTGGGGAAACTTGAAGGCAAAAGGAGATAGCAGTAGATAAATTATATTGTTCTTCAGGTTTTATAGAAATATATGAACAGGTCAACACATTTCTAGGGTCACTCCAGTGTCTGTGAAAATGAAGGCCCTGGATTTTAACTTAACATCTTCCTGCTAAACCTTACTGTACTTGAAGTAAACTTCCTCCATTTCATATAAACATACAGCATCTAGTACAGTAGAATGTTATGTTTATATGAACTCTTACTAGTTGTTAAAATTAAGTTTTACTTGATTTCTTGGAGAATGTTTTATATAGTATTACACATGTTACTTCAGAGCCTCAAAATAAGCCATGAATAAAATATTTCTCAAATATCATTATTCAAACTTCTCTCTATATAATTCATACATCTCTAAAGAATCTTCTGGTGCTATGGTTTTGAAGTCTGGCTGCATACTGGATTCTCCTGGAGTACTTTTAGAAAATAACAATGGGTATGACATGTGCAATGATTTTTTTTTAAAGCTCTCCAGGTGATTCTAATGTTCAGCTTGAAATTGATATCCACTCTTCTAATGGTTAAAATACCTTTATTTTTTTATTTTTGGCTTAAATGTCAAAATATTATTCTAGCTCCTCCTGGACTCTTTTGAATGAAATATAAAGATGTGAGATTCAGGAAATACAGTATACATGCAGAGCACAATAGGTATAACACAAAATATATCTTTGTTAGAAAGAAACTATCCTCGTAAAAATCTCTGTTCATGTAGAATGCATGGTGTGCTGACAGGATGAGATAGGAACCAGGCTAGGTGAACAGCTCCTAATTAAAAATAAAATTAATTTTCTACCAGGTGCTCTCTGTTGTACTTGAAGGCAAATGCAATTTTGTTGGTATAATAAAGGGTACAGTAAGGAGGTCAGCTACAAAGACTGTTTTAAGCAGAAAAGTGTCCAGCTTAATAAATTCATTCCAGCTCATCAGACATTCATGCTTTCTCACTGTGGCCCAGGTAACCTATTGAGTTGGGCGGAACAGCCACCTGGCTGTCACTCTCTCACCCATCCAAGTGGATCCTGTGCTGCAAACAATTAATGCTTGTTCAACCTGCCCACGTCGAGTGGATTGTTCTTATTTCTCCTCAAATGGCTAATTTTGAGAACACTGATTTTTTATGATGATGGAAGAAAATCAGAATAAAGAACTTTTTCTGAGTGAGATATTCAATACTTCGAAAGTTATTTATTGTCTAAATAGAGATTTAATCCAATCCTTTCAGAGATGTTTTCTTTCTTTCTTTCTTTCTTTCTGTCTGTCTGTCTGTCTGTCTGTCTGTCTTTCTTTCTTTCTTTCTGTCTTTCTTTCTTTCTTTCCTTTTTATTTCAGTACCAGGGATCGAACTTGGATCCTTGTGCTTGCAGGGCAGGTGGCAGAACCACTGAGCTAAATCCCCAGCCCCAGATGTTTTATTTCTTTAAGCAACTTTTTAAAATTTCACATGCCTCTCTTCACAGTTGTATCATTTAAACCTTTCATGTTGATCAATGAAAGTATTTTATATATACACTTAAAACTGTATAGTAGAGATTGAGCATTCTTAATTTGAAAATTCCAAATCCAGAATACTGCAAAATCTGAAATCTTTTTG